GAAAAAAAAAAATGGAAAATCGAAAAATCGCAAAACCGAGGAGTCGACGAAGTCAAAAAAATTAAGAAATCGAAATAGCCCAAAATCAAAAAATTCAAATTTGAAACAATTAAACTTAAAAAACCGATACATCGAAAAAAAGTGATAAACTGCAAAATCGATAAATCAAGAAATCAAAAAGTTGAAAAATCTAAAAGTGGAAACTCAAAAAAAAAAACGAAAAATTGAGAAATTCAAACATTAAAAAAGTGGAAATCATAAATTTAAAAAATAAAAAAATCCCAAAAACTGAAACATGGAAAATTGAAAAATGGAGAAATCGAAAAATTAAAAAATCTAAAAATCGAAATCCGAAAAGGCGAAAAATCAAAAGATCTAGCAACGAAAACATGAAAATATCTGACACTTAAAAAATCGAAACATGAAAATATCAAAAAGTTGAGAATCGAAAAACCTATTTTGAGAAATCGAAATTCAAAAAATTGAAACACGTATTAAAAAATTAAAATCGGGATATCGAAACATCAGAAATTCGTAAAATCGAAAACATAAATTAAAAAAACGAAAAACTAAATCAAAAAACTAGAAATCGAAAAATATAAAATTTAAAAAATTGAAAAATTGAAAAACCGAAAAATTAGATCGAAAAATTGAAAAAAAAATGGAAAAATTGGCAAATTGAAAAATCGCAAAACCGAGAAATAGAAATTGAAAACTGAAACATCGCGAAATCGAAAAGCCAAAAAATTAAGAAATCGAAATAGCCCGAAATAGAAAAATTCAAATTGGAAACATTTAAACTTAAAAAAATCGATACATCGAAAAAAAACTGAAAAATCGAAACATCGAAATCTCAATAAATCGAGAAATCAAAAATTTAAAAATCTAAAAGTGAGACCTCGAAAAACCGAAAAATCTAGAAATTCAAACATTAAAAAAGTGGAAAATCTTACATTAAAAAAATTGAAATACTGGAAAAATCCCAAAACTGTAACATCGACAAATGGAAAATTTAGAAACGTCAAAAAGAAAAATCGAAAAAAATTAAAAAAAAAAATTGAGAAATTGAAAATCGAAATACGAAAAGGGGAAAAACCAAAAGATCTAGCAATCAAAACATCAAAATATCTACCGTTTAAAAAATCGAAACATGAAAATATAAAAAAATTGAGAAATCAAAAAACCAAAAATCGAAAATCAAAAAATTGAAATACGTATTAAAAAATTAAACTTGGGAAATCGAAACATCAGAAAATCGGAAATGTAAAATTTGAAAAAACGAAAAACTAAAAAATCAAAAAACTAGAAAGCGAGAAATCGAAACATCTAATATTTAAAAAATAGAAAAATAGAAAAATCGAAAAAAGCATGGTAGGACTGAACACGCGAGAAAAATTAAAAACAAATGGAAAAATGGACAAATCAAAAAATCGCAAAACCGAGAAATACGATTTGAAAAACTGAAACATCGGAGAATAGAGAAGTCGTCGATTTTTTTTTTAATTTGAAATATTTAAACTTAAAAACATCGAAATCTCGATAAATCGAGAAATCAAAGAATTGAAAAATCTAAAAGTGAGAACTCAAAAAACCGAAAAATCAAGAAATTCGAACATTTAAAAAGTGGGAAATCTTAATTTTAAAAATAGGAAAAACGAAAAATTGAAAAATCGAAATACTTAAATTTAAAAAATCGGAAAATCAAAACACCACAAAATCGAAAAAGTAAAAAATCGAAATACTGAAAAATCCCAAAATCAAAACATCGAAAAATTGAGAAACCTAAAAGTGAGAACTCAAAAAAAAACGAAAAATCGAGAAATTCACACATTTAAAAACTGGAAAATCTTAAATTTAAACAATAGAAAAATTGAAAAATTAAAACATCACAAAATCGAAATACTGAAAAATCCCAAAACTGAAACATCGAAAAATTGAAAAACCAAAAATTAAAAAATTAAGAAATCGTAAAGTCGAAAAATTGAGAAATCGAAATCTCGAAAAATCAAAAAATCGATTAATCGAAAAATCGAAAATTTAGAAACGCCAAAAATTGAAAAATCTAAAAAAAATTTTAAAAAACTGAAACATCGAAAGCTTGCCTGGAGAAATCAGAAAATGAAAAAATCGAGAAATCGAAAATGTCAAATTTGAAAAAAACGAAAAACTAAAAAATCAAACGACTAGAAAGCGAAAAATCGAGAAATCTAACATTTAAAAAATCGAAACATGAAAATATCAAAAATTGAAAAATTCCCTAAATAACCAAAAAATTTGAAATAAGTATTAAAAAATAATAAAAAAGAAAAACTATAAAATAAAAAACACTAGAAAGCGAGAAATCGACAAATCTAAAATTTAAAAAATAGATAAATTGAAAAACCGAAAAATTACATCGAAAAACTGAAAAACTGAAAAATCGAGAAATTGACAAATCCCAAAACATCTAAAAATTGAAAAAAAAATGGAAAAACTGACACATCGAAAAATGGGAAAACCGAGAAATAGAAATTGAAAAACTGAAAAATATTGAGAAATCGAGAAGTCAAAAAAGTAAGAAATCGAAATATGCCCAAAATCGAAATATGTATTTAAATTTAAAAAAATCGAAAAATCGAAACATCACAAAATCGAAAAAGTAAAAAATCGAAATACTGAAAAATCCCGAAACTGAAACATTGAAAAATTGAAAAACAAAAAATTGAAAAATCGAGAAATCGGAAAGTCGACAAAAATTCAGAGATCGAAATGTCGAAAAATCAAAAAATCGAAAATTTAGAAACGCCAAAAATTGAAAATTTTAAAAACCGAAAAATCGAAATCCGAAATGTCGAAAAATCAAAACATCGACCAAACAAAACATCTACGGTTTATAAAATCGAAACATGAAAATATAAAAAAATTGAGAAATCGAAAAAACCAAAAACTAAAAAATCAAAAACTAAAAAGCGAGAAATCGAAAAATCTAATATTTAAAAAATAGAAAAATTTGAAAATCGAAAATTAAATGGAAGAATTGAAAAATCGAGAAACTGAAAAATCCCGAAACATCGAAAAATTGAAAAAAAATAAATGGAAAAATGGGCAAATCGAAAAATCGCAAAACCGAGAAATAGGATTTGAAAAATTGAAACGTTGAGGAGTCGAGAAGTCGAAAAGTTAAGAAATCGAAATAGCCCAAAATTGAAATATTTAAACTAAAAAAAAAAAAAAACAAATCGAAAAAATGAAAAATTGAAATATAGGAATCTTGATAAATCGAGAAATCGAAAAATTGAAAAATCTTAAGTTTACAAAATAGAAAAAACGAAAAACTGAAAAATCGAAATGTCGATAAATCAAAATATCGATTAATTGAAAAATCGGCAAATTAGAAATGGCAAAAATTGAAAAATCGAAAAGAAATTTAAAAAACTGCAACATCGAAAACGTGAGAAATCAAAAAATTGAGAAATTCAAAAATCAAAAAAATCGATCAATCGGGAAATTGAGAAATAAATCGAAAATTTAGAAACGCTAAAAATTGAAAAATCGTCAAACTGTAACATCGTAAAATTGTTACTCAAGTTTGTTTTTTTTCCTCCAAAAATCTCGATGTATAGGATAAAAATTCAACACGGTTTCATAAACCACAAGTTCAGGATTATGTTACTTTTAATATTTATGTACTATTGTAAAATTAAATATACATACAGAATTACACAGACGGCTTTACAAACAGACAAACGGAAACGGGAACCGATTTTTCCGTACGTAGGGGTCATGAATCGTCGAGAAAACATGGAAGTAGCCAGTCGCCCGATGGACTCAATTACAATAATACTTCCTTAGCTTACGCTCGCGAAGTAAGAAGTGGCATGTATTTTTAAGTGACACGGCAAATTTTTGAGATGACGTAAGCAATGTATTGGCGGGGATGATTAAATTTTTATTCGCGTCTTGCGATGTTTATAATACCAAAATGCACTAAAAATGTAGAATAACTGCTACAATTTCGGCAATTATTTGCTAACAAATATTTAAATCAAGTGTTATCAAGCTGAAAATTTTCCATTAAGAAGCAATAACATCGCCATAACAACGGATATGAGCAATAAAAGTTGTGGAAAAATTAACTCTTCAATTGTTCTACAAGGTTATTTTTGTTTTTGCTTTTTTTGATTATCTCGATTCGTAAATATTTCATGAGTAGTATATATCTATAATCTATATCGGAAAACTAAGAAAACGAAGTCAAAAATAGAAATAACGCATTATTTTATAAACTACTTTGCAAACTTTTAGAAATCGAATCAGGTAAAAAAATGTTTGTGTTTGTGAAAATTAATTGAAGAAGAATCTCTTTACAGGTAAGCAAGCAACTTTATTTATTTTTGTGGAATTATTTATGTTTACTTTCAACAAAGTAATCTTTAATAATCGTCAATTTTGAAAACAGTGACTAATTCTCAAATTCGTATACGTAAAAAGTGGTTCTAAAAATATCCATATAACAGTTAAAAGTCGGACGCTCTCACTTCATTTTTCACAACATGTTTATTTTGAAGAAAATTAAACAAAAATTGAAAAAGTTAAAAATAGACACTGGAGTACAGCAAAAAATTCCAACGACGTTTTTTTTCCAAAAAGAATGTGTTTATCTCTTAATGAACTCTGCAACGATATTATGTAAGTGAGTACATGTTTTTAAAGTAATATCAACGAAAGTGGAGCCTGAGGATGAAGGTAAATTTAATTTAAATTATGCAACATTCCCGCACTAATGTTATTAAAATATAAACTGTAATTAGCATACTCTGTATTTCTTCCATTAAAAATTATGATTATCAAATATGTAATTTCGCAAATTGAATATTTTTTGCTTTGAGAGGATCCCATTTAGATAAAATCAAGGCTTTCTTAATTTCAGCGCAATTTTATACCGGTTGCACTTATTTGTTCTTTCAAAGCGAATATACAGGATGTTTCATTTGGACTGAGTTATTTGATAATTTACTTACCAGTGACACAAACAGTGACAAACTTCGAGCCAAAGTACCCCCCTGAAGCGTATTTACACGGATTAGGGTGCAAATTCTGGAAATGTCCCGCCATTATGCATTCTTCAGACGACAAGAAATGGCTATTGATGTGCCTCAAGTGCTTCACCGTCCCCTTTTGCACATCCTCCGGTATGAGATCAGTAAAAATCCACCCAACGCGTCTCAGCCCCAAACTTCTAGCTAAATCTTCAACTAGTTCTTCTTTATCGTCGCGTAGAAGACGAATTGAGTCACGGCCGCTTTCTTGCGGCGGCTCGTAGATGGCCACCACGTTAGCTCTTATTCCTGTAAAAAAAAAAAAACAACAATGACTTTGCCAAATAAGTCGGCTTTGTCGAACGCACCTAAAGGCACATCGTTGTGAATTTCGTAATTTCCATACAAAAACCCGATTCTCTGATGTCCCGTCGAACGCCAATAGTTCAAAAACCGCTCCACCAGATCTTTGTTCTCGAAAGCGACGTTGTCCACGTGACGATACACCTGTCGGTTCAGGGTGATAGCGTTCGGCTGGCACTTGGAGCAGATGCCCTTGGGCCATGGGGGGTGGTCTTTGCAGCCGTTTTTGATGCGACAGGAGATGTCCTCGAGGGCTAAGAATTTACCCTTGTCTACGCCTGACGTCATCTTCCTCAAGTACGAATGGAAAGAGAGGTGCTTCACATTGTGCTCGCGCAAGTAAGCTTCGTCGAACGGCTCCAGAGCCGAGCAGTGGACACAGCGAGAGTTAGTGTTGTGGCGACACCTGCGGAATTGATTTTACTGTAGTATTTATTACACAACTATCAAAAATACTATGGATTTTACGTGCCGTGAATGCCACATTCAACAACAAAAATTAATATTGACGTCACGTTTCATTATTTTTTAATCTGCACTATACCTGAATTTTTTTAATTGATTTCGTCAAAGTTGTGACGTCAGCAAGAAAATGAAAAACGACTTATACATAATCCCTTAACTCGACTTTGATATATTTTAGGTTATGTTTTCGGTGTAATGATAAATTTTGTCAATTAATATTTATTTATCACTTAAAAATAGAGCAGAAAATGATGAATCCCCCCCTTCCTTAGTACCATACGAAACAATATACTAAGGTACCACCTTAGTATATATAATACCTTGTTAAAAAAATATAGTTACTTATACACAATTTTTCTGACCTCTGAAGTGTAAGAAATGCCGCTTTGTCTCAGGACATAGTGCTAGTTCTTGCTAAGATAAGACTGATTTTGGAAAATGAGATTCCTTTAAGAAAGTATAGGGTTGGTGGGCGGGGCTAGTAGCTGCTGTTTTTATTATCTTTTCTTCTTCTTGAGGAGACAATTTGCTGCGTGCTTAATTGTCGCATTCTTTCGATGTACATATAAACATAAACAATTGAAGTTAAGTGTGTACTAATAATATATTTTTACTTCAGAGACGAGGGAAGAGCTGTCTAAATAACTTTAGACCAATTTTTTGCGTTTAAAAGAGCAAGTCTTGCAGGCGCCTAGTGTTTTTTTTAATATAAAAAAATCTTCGGGTTCTCCTGTGCTTTGTTTTTAAAATATGTACTTTTAAAAAATCTTAAATATGTGATGTTTCGTTTTTCAAAATATTGTCAAAACCGAAAAATTGAAAAATCGGGAATTTGAAAAATCTAAAAAATTGAAAAATCGGGAATTTGAAAAATCTAAAAAATTCAAAAATTAAAATATCTTATAGATGAAAATGTTGAAAAATGTAAGTTTTAAAAACTCGCAACATTTGGAAAAATCGAGTAAGTAAAAGATCAAAAAAAAAAATCAAATCTTGAAAAATCCCACAATTGAAAAATCTCCAAAACTTAAACAGAGAAATCGAAAAATCGGAAATTTAAAAAATCGATTAATCGAGAAATTGAGAAAACGAAAAATCCAAAAATTGAAAAATCTAAAAACGAGAAGGCAAAAATCGAAAACTTGAGAAATCGAAACAAGAGAAAAGTGAAAAACCTAAAATTTTAAAATTTAAAAAATTGAAAATATAAAAAATCTGGCAATCAAAAACTTCAACAAATCGAAAAATCAAAAAACTGAAACGTCAAAAACTGTAAGATTTAAAAATTCGCAACATTTTGAAAAATCGAATGAGTAAAAAAAAATCAAAAAATAAAAAAAAAACAGGAAGTCGAAAAATCTAATAATTTAAAAATCGAAATACATATTCAAAAATCCCAAAATTGAAAAATCCCAAAACTTAAGCAGAGAAATCGAAAAATGGAGAAATCGAAAAATCGGAAATTTAAAAAATCGATTAATCGAGAAATTGAGAAAATGAAAAATCCAAAAATTGAAAAATTGAAAAATCTAAAAACGAGAAGGCAAAAAATCGAAAGATTGAGAAATCGAAACAAGAAAAAAGTGAAAAACCTAAAACTTTAAAATTTAAAAAATTGAAAATATAAAAAATCTGGCAATCAAAAACTTCAACAAATCGAAAAATCGAAAAACTGAAAAATCGAAAACTGTAAGATTTAAAAATTCGCAATATTTTGAACAATCGAATGAGTAAAAAATAAAAAAAAAAAAACAGAAAGTCGAAAAATCTAATAATTTAAAATTCGAAATACATATTCAAAAATCCCAAAATTAAAAAATCCCAAAACTTAAATAGAGAAATCGAAAAATTGAGAAATCGAAAAATCGGAAATTTAAAAAATCGATTAATCGAGAAATTGAGATAACGAAAAATCCAAAAATTGAAAAATTGAAAAATCTAAAAACGAGAAGGCAAAAAATCGAAAGATTGAGAAATCGAAACAAGAGAAAAGTGAAAAACCTGAAATTGTAAAATTTTAAAAATCGAGCAATCAAAAACTTCTACAAATCGAAAAATCAAAAAACTGAAAAATCGAAAACTGTAAGATTTAAAAATTCGCTATATTTTAAAAAATCGAATGAGTAAAAAATCAAAAAAAAAAAGTAGTCGAAAAATCTAATAATTTAAAAATCGAAATACATATTCAAAAATCTCTAAATTGAAAAATCCCAAAACTCAAACAGAGAAATCGAAAAATCGAGAAATCAAAAAATCGGAAATTTAAAAAATCGACTAATCGAGAAATTGAGATAACGAAATATCCAAAAATTGAAAAATCTAAAAACGAGAAGGCAAAAAATCGAAAGATTGAGAAATCGAAACAAGAGAAAAGTGAAAAACCTGAAATTATAAAATTTAAAAACTCGAGCAATCAAAAATTTCTACAAATCGAAAAATCAAAAAACTGAAAAATCGAAAACTGTAAGATTTAAAAATTCGCTATATTTTAAAAAATCGAATGAGTAAAAAATAAAAAAAAACAGGAAGTCGAAAAATCTAATAATTTAAAAATCGAAATACATATTCGAAAATCTCTAAATTGAAAAATCCCAAAACTTAAACAGAGAAATCGAAAAATTTAGAAATCGAAAAATCGGAAATTTAAAAAATCGATTAATCGAGAAATTGAGAACACGAAAAATCCAAAAATTTAGAAAAGCCAAAAATTAAAAAATTGAAAAATCTAAAAACGAGCAGGCAAAAATCGAAAGATTGAGAAATGGAAACAAGAGAAAAGTGAAAAACCTAAAATTTTAAAAATTGAAAATTTAAAAAATCGAGCAATCAAAAACTTCTACAAATCGAAAAATCGAAAATCTGAAAAATCGAAAACTAAGATTTAAAAATGCGCTATATTTTGAAAAATCGAATGAGTAAAAAATCAAAAAAAAAAAAACAGGTAGTCGAAAAACCTAATAATTTAAAAATCGAAATACATATTCAAAAATCCCAAAATTGAAAAATCCCAAAACTTAAACAGAGAAATCGAAAAATCGGAAATTTAAAAAATCGATTAATCGAGAAATTGAGAAAACGAAAAATCCAAAAATTTAGAAACGCCAAAAACTGAAAAATTTAAAAATCTAAAAACGAGAAGGCAAAAAATCGAAAGATTGAGAAATCAAAACAAGAGAAAAGTGAAAAACCTATAATTTTAAAATTTAAAAAATTGAAAATTTTAAAAATCGAACAATCAAAAACATCAACAAATCGAAAAATCAAAAAACTGTAAGATTTAAAAATGCGGTATATTTTGAAAAATCGAATGAGTAAAAAATCAAAGAAAAAAAAGGAAGTCGAAAAATCTAATAATTTAAAAATCGAAATACATATTCAAAAATCCCAAAATTGAGAAATCCCAAAACTTAAACAGAGAAATCGGAAAATCGGAAATTTAAAAAATCGATTAATCGAGAAATTGAGAAAACGAAAAATCCAAAAATTTAGAAACGCCAAAAATTGAAAAATCTAAAAACGAGAAGGCAAAAAATCGAAAAATTGAGAAATCCAAACAAGAGAAAAGTGAAAAACCTAAAATTTTAAAATTTAAAAAATTGAAAATTTAAGAAATCGAGAAATCAAAAACATCAACAAATCGAAAAATCAAAAAACTGAAATATCGAAAACTGTAAGATTTAAAAATTCGCAATATTTTGAAAAATCGAATGAGTAAAAAATCAAAAAACAAAAAAAACAGGAAGGCTAAAAAGCTAATATGTAATTTAAAAATCGAAATACATATTCAAAAATCCCAAAACTTAAACAGAGAAATCGAAAAATCGGAAATTTAAAAAATCGATTAATCGAGAAATTGAGAAAATGAAAAATCCAAAAATTGAAAAATTGAAAAATCTAAAAACGAGAAGGCAAAAAATCGAAAGATTGAGAAATCGAAACAAGAGAAAAGTGAAAAACCTAAAATTTTAAAATTAAAAAAAATCGAGCAATCAAAAACTTCAACAAATCGAAAAATCGAAAAACTGAAAAATCGAAAACTGTAAAATTTAAAAATGCGCAATATTTTGAAAAATCGAATGAGTAAAAAATAAAAAAAATAGAGAAATCGAAAAATCCAAAAATTGAAAAATTGAAAGATTGAGAAATTGAAATAAGAGAAAAGTGAAAAACCTAAAATTTTAAAATTTAAAAAATTGAAAATTTTAAAAACTTAAACAATCAAAAACATCAACAAAACGAAAAATCGAAAAACTGAAAAATCTAAAACTTTAAGATCTAAAAATTTGCAACATTTTGAAAAATCTAATGAGTAAAAAATCAAAAAAAAAAAAAACAGGAAGTCGAAAAATCTAATAATTTAAAAATCGAAATATGTACGTATTCAAAAATCCCAAAATTGAAAATCCCAAACCTTAAACAGAGAAATCGAAAAATTGAGACATCGAAACATCGGAAATTTAAAAAATCGATTAATCCAGAAATTGACAACGAAAAATCCAAAAATTGAAAAATTGAAAAATCTAAAAACGAGAAGGCAAACAATCGAAAGATTGAGAAATCGAAACAAGAGAAAAGTGAAAAATCTAAAATTTTAAAATTTGAAAAACTGAAAAATCTAAAACAGTAAGATTTAAAAATTCGCAATATTTTGAAAAATTGAATAAGTAAAAAATCAAAAAAAAAAAAAAAAAATACAGGAAGTCGAAAAATCTAATAATTTAAAAATCGAAATACATATTCAAAAATCCCAAAATTTAAACAGAGAAATCGAAAAATTGAGAAAACGAAAAATCCAAAAATTTAGAAACGTCAAAAATTGAAAAATCTAAAAACGAGAAGGCAAAAAATCGAAAAATTGAGAAATCGAAACAAGAGAAAAGTGAATGACCTAAAATTTTAAAATTTAAAAAATTGAAAATATAAAAAATCGAGTAATCAAAAACTTCAACAAATCGAAAAATCGAAAAACTGAAAAATCGAAAACTGTAAGGTTTAAAAATGCGCTATATTTTGAAAAATCGAATAATCTAAAAATCGAAATACATATTCAAAAATCCCAAAATTGAAAAATCCTAAAACTTAAAACAGAGAAATCGAAAAATCGGAAATTTAAAAAATCGAGAAATTGAGAAAACGAAAAATCCAAAAATTGAAAAATTGAAAAATCTAAAAACGAGAAGGCAAAAAATCGAAAGGTTGAGAAATCGAAACAAGAGAAAAGTGAAAAACCAAAAATTTTAAAATTTAAAAAATTGAAAATTTTAAAAATCGAGCAATTAAAAACTTCAACAAATCGAAAAATCGAAAAACTGAAAAATCTAAAACTGTAAGATTTAAAAATTCGCAATATTTTAAAAATCGAATGAGTTAAAAATTAAAAAGAAAAACAGGAAGTCGAAAATTTAATAATTTAAAAATCGAAATACATATTCAAAAATCCCAAAATTAAAAAATCCCAAAACTTAAACATTCAAAATTCGTGAAACTGACAAATCGATTTAAGTCGAAAAATTGAAAAAACTGAAACGTTGGAAAATTGGAAAACTAAAAAATCGAAAAATCGCGAAATCCAAATATCAAAAGATCGAGAAGTCGAAAGATCGAAAACTTGAAACGGAAGTGGCTAAACATCGAAAAATAGGAAAATTCAAAATTGACAAATTTGAACTCAAAAACGATAAACCGAAAAAGTGAAAAATCGAAACATCGAACAACTGAAAAATGAATTCCGAAAAATTGAAAAACCGGGAAATCTAAAAACGAGAAGGCGAAAAATCGAAAGAAAACCATTAAATCGAAAATTGAAAAATCGGAATATCGAAAAACTGAAAAAGTAATTCCGAAAAATTGAAAAATCGAAAAATTCAAAAAATCGAAACAACAAAAAAGCAAAAAATCTAAAATTTAAAATCGAAATATTGAAAATTTAAAAAATCGAGCAATTAAAACATCAACAAATTTAAAAAGTCGAAATTGTCAAAATCAAAAATTCGAAGAGTGGTGAAATTTAGAAAAAATATAAAACTTTGAAGGGCTATATCTTCAACATTTGGACAAAAGAATTTTTTTAATTATTTTTCTCTGCTCCATAAATGGTCCCGAACAACGTGTCGCGAATTTTTGAACCCTGTATACTTGTGATTTATCAATACCCTCATAATTTTTAAGTTTTCAAGAAAAAAACATAATAAAATTGTATATTTTTCAATAATAAGACCGATTTTAGCAGGAATACCTAGAACCTCAAAAAAACGGGGTCCCAAAATTAACTCCAAAACAAGTCAGGTCAGAATTTTCTAAAAATAGAACACCACAAATTGTTTTAAATAATTTACAAAAAAAATCTCCATACACTCTGAGTATCCAAGAGTCTCCCGAATTAAAAAAAAAAAAAAACAACACTGCGGCACTCAAGACATTTTCAAATTCATAAAACACCAGATTCCTTTAAATCTATCCGAAAATAAAACACCAGGGGACCTAAAATTAACTGCGAATACTTTAAACGTAGAGTTTTAAAAATTTTGTCAATTTTTGATACGTCGAACATTTTTAATTGGTTACTCAATTTTTGCTGACACCCGGTATAATCAGTTCTAAATAATAAAAAACATTAAGTCATTAATGAACCCAAGGTGAATTTTCCATGAAAGCGTTAACAGCGATTTTTACAAATATTAATTTTAGTATTCGATTTAAATCTAAGACAGTCAACTAATCGATAATATAAATCCCAAAAATCACCTGTGTAAACGTTTCGTAAAAAATTAATTTATACAGGGTGTTTACTAAACATGCGGCTAAAATTCAGGGGGTTATTCCTTGGATTATTTTAAGATTTTTTTGTCCTTTAACGATTTTCAAAAAGACGATTTGTTTCGGAAATACGGGGCCACAAAAGTAAAGTCAAATTACAGTGTACTGTGCAGGCCTGCCCAATCCCCAGACTTGAATCTCTTGGATTTTTTGAAAAAGTTAGGTAGTCATTCTCGGCAGTTTTTGTAGATATGAATTAATAAACAATTTTTTTTTCGAAACGTTTTATCGTCTTGTATCTTCAAATCAAATTGTGTTTCCGAAAATCATCCAAGGACAAAAAATCTTAAAATAACCCACGGAAAAACCCTTTATATTTTTGTCGTACATTTAATAAACACACTGTACATCTGAAGTTTAAATTTTCATTTTTTTTTTATTTCTAGCAAGTACTCGCTCCGCCCACCCAGCCTTTTTTTCTTTGAAGAATAAGTCATCTGCCAAAATCAGTCTCATCTTGAAAAGTACTAGCACCCTGTATAAGTAATTCTAAAAAATATTAATGGAATGATAAATTACAATTACAAATTTATCATATTTTGCACATTTTAGACAGGATTTATTTGGCAAAATTTCGAGATGACGTCATCAAATTTTAGGGGGGGGGGTCGATAATCTTAAAACGTTTGCAAGGTTTCAGAACATCCGGATTTGTAATTCCAAAGGTTAATTGTAAAATGTTATTATACAAGTTTGAATTTTTTACAAAAACCTGGATGTCTAGGGTAAAAACTCAAGACGGATTCATAAACTACAACTACTACTTTCATGAAAGCGCCCTATAATGAAATTATGATTTAAACCCGCCAAAGTGCCGAATCAATCAAGTCAAAATTTGTAACATTATCATGGGTGGTTGTTTTAAAATGAGATTAGTTTATCTTTCAAAACACGTAACACGTAATCATTGTCAAAATATATTAAATCGTTGGTATAGTGTCAAAGTTAATTAATTTTGTCACGAGTGACGTCATCAAATTTTGAGGCGATATAATCATTAATTTTGAGATGTACAAGATAACGCTAACCGTAATTCCTCTGTCCAACATTTTTTAAAATCGTAAAAATAAAGCCAATTAATTAAAAACGCTATTGCTTCAATAGCGTTTTTAGGGTATATGTTGTAGCAAACATTTCTTTCATAACTTCTTTGATAACGTTATCAGCATATAATTATTTCAATTATTTATAAATATGATGGAAAATTAGTCATCAATAAACGAAACTAAACACTTTTTTCATTTCAAAGATCTACCAACACACTGAAAATACACGTGGTAAAATTTTTTACAGTACACAAATGAGTCACTTATTTGTACATCAGTTAACGAATTGCAACATTTTTCTCAGTATAATATGTACACATTAAATGTAATCTTGTTTTTTATGTTGTTCCAACTTGATTCCAACATATGTGGACTTTGTGGTGACAACACTGTCTGAAATAACTTAATTATGTTGAAGCATATACTAAAATGGTCATTTTTGAGAGAAAAAAAAACACAAAGGCCTCCATTTTAATATGCTACACATCATGTCATTAAACCAAGCTTTTACCGCATAGGATAACAAAAAAAGATGTTGCTTGGAAAACATAATAGGCTTTGATTTCAATTTGGCGCAAACGATACACGACCTTACGTGACATTAAATTGAATGTAAAAAAAAAACAGACGTATGGATAAAATTTGATTAACGGTCGTAATTAACCTCAAATTGTGTATCACTGAACTTTTCACAGATACAATTTCTCCCTTAAATGTACACAATCTTGAGTAAATTTTCCACTTGTTATTACATCAAATAAACCATACCTAATTGTATGCACAAATAATGTAGTGGGCAGTTATTTTACCTTGTATGGTGGCTTTTTTTAAATCATCTTTGTCCAAATACAAGCCTTAATAAACAAAAGTTCCTAAATAACCCTTGGCACCAATCAAATGTCAAGGATACTCCAAGTGACAAGTGTCAATACTTGCTGATATTTAAATGTCAATTTTCACAAAATCCACCCCTCACACTTACAATTTCGGGTCTTGCTTCCTCTGGACCTTCCCATCGAGCTTTGATAACTGCAAATCGACAGGATCCTCCTTAACAGTACTCAATTTACTGTTTACACTTAAACTGCTACTTGGTCTTGAGTTGCTTATTCCTGAACTAGTAGACGTCGACGCAAGAACAGGCTCACCTGAGGGCGTATTATTACTCTATAAAATAGAACATTGAGCCAAATTTCCCACGATCTGTCCTTACTCACTGAAGTCGTGGGGAATAAAACCGCGCCGTTGAGGGGCTGCAGATAAATCATGTCCCCGTGTCGCAGCCCTGCGCTTGCAACGGTGCGAGACTTGCTGCTCGCAATCTCATTTTTCTGGTTGCGCTCCTTGTACAGGGCGAAAGCGAAACTGCTCAAGTCGAAAGTGTCATGAACTCGTTCGAACAACCTGCAAGTCGAGTCTGAAGAGCTGACTTCTATCCGTTTTGTGCCCTCGGGAGATTGTACCCTTAACAGCTGAAATAAAAAAAATCGGTTTGTCTTTGTCACTTGTTTCGGGATTTTTTTAAATTTTGAGGTTAGGACGGAAATTTCCGATTTGGGGCTGAGGTAAGGTTTTTAGTGGGGTAAGAGGCAGTTTAAAAGGGGGCTTTTATACAGGTAATAACGGGCTTACTATTGCTTTAGCTTTGGACATTGTAAAAAATTCATGTATATTTTTATAAGCTTAGTCAGTACTATTTCAAGTCGAATTGTCAATTGACAGACTTGCCAATGGCGCAGGACGAAAGTTACTAGATGACTGGACACTTTAAAATCTTTTTAAAATTTTGAAGATAATTTAAAAATTGGGAGTTTCCGCGAAAAATGAGTCAGGAATTTAAAATTAGTTTGTAGAAAGTTGTCGTTGGGACGGATAGTTTGTTATTTGCGCGCCATTATTTGGTTGAACCGTTTTTCGCAGTTTGGGCCAAATCGTAATTCAATTTGGATCCTTGGATGCGAATTCCTGTTTCTAAATATAAATTAAGGCTGGAATTCGTCACAACTGCATAAACGTACAGGTAAAATGCTAAACTGCTACTGAAATAGACATTGTAGGCGCGCTGTTTCGCAGTTTAATAAATACTTTAATTCCCGCGATATTTTGCCAATTTTTCGTGAAATATGTCGCAGAATCTATTTAAGTGATTCGTTTAATGCTCGTTTAGGCATTTCGAGCAAAACTTCTCGATTTTGAGTTTGAGGAATCGCCCGGACTCCGGAATCGACTGTCACTTATTGTTTCTGGAAAATTCTGGAACCGGAGTGCCAAGTGATAAAACAAGAAAGCGATTCTCGTCAATGCAGTGACGAAGCAGAACTCTGATTATAAAAAGTGGCGCAGAGGTGAGTTCCCATCACTTTAACCATCTTTGGAGAAAAAACATCACGATGACATTTCAGAATTAGACATTTATCACAGTTGTCAAAAATTGACAGGTCTTTTAAATTCGTCCGAATTCAGTTTTGAAACTTTTTCGAAAATGACCACGAACAAGGTGGAATTGTACATTTACGACCTGTCCAGGGGGATGGCAGCCACCCTCTCCCCAATGATAATAGGTGAGTAAAATTTTGAGGTTATCTAACATTCACCCCCCGTTTTGCGCCCCCACAGGGAAGAAAATCGACGGGATCTGGCACACGGCGATCGTGGTCTACGGCAGAGAATACTTCTTCGGCTCGCACGGTATTTCAAGTTGCAATCCGGTAAGGACACCATTTTTCTGCAATTGTTATGCGTCTTAGTTGTCCGCGGTCATGTAATTTTGCTTATTTATTTGGGTTTTATAAATATAAAGGTGGTGTTGTAAATTTAGAATAACATGTGAGTTGGGTTACATCCACAGAGGGCACTGTCTCGCTGTCGTCGAAGCGTTGTGTACGTATCATGTTGTAGAAAAGTCTAAATTTGGAATGGTGCTATAAATAAATATAGAAACATTATTTGGCTAGCGGCGTACCGGCTTTCTGTTTCGATTAGTCTTATTAGTGCATTTAATTCTCTTACATCTTGTAAGTTATTTGTTGTAGATGTTGCGTTTGTTTAAAATTGTGCCTGTTGGAATGTTTGTGTGGAGTGTGGCCTTAACGTTTTCAACACATGCTTCAAAATTTTTTCCACCATTAAGCAGACGCGTGGAAAGTGACGACAAGTGAAAAATCTGGTAGCGAGATGATATGATTCGCCTAATAAATTATTTTTGAGCACGTTGCTTCTAATGTGGGAACTAAATTAGCGTGATTATTTTTAAAGTAGTTAAGTGAGTAGATTTAGTGGACTGGGTGTACTGATTTTACAAATAGCTTCATTTATCACGCTTTGACAACTTTATCTGTGTCTGTTTTTTTACTCACCTTGTTTTTGAATTAGAGCAAGGAGCTTTTTTTTAATCACGTAGCAATTGAATTCTTCTGTAAATAAGAGTGGAGTTTTACATTTTTAATTTTAGAAGTATGTTGCAATCACATAACATTGGAGCAAACTGAACTTTTCTGAAAGATCAGGTTGTTGGCCACTGAGGTCAATGTTCCAGTGTATTTTTTCTGTTTCCAAAATTGTTGTTCGGAAAAAATACAAAGGAGTGTCTGCCAACTCTTTTTTTAAATCTGAAAACTCTCAGCTTGGTATTTTATTTCTGTAAACGTTGGATGCAGTGCTCTTGTTTTCAGTTTGGGTATAAGCATTATATTTTAGTCTTTACTGCAGAGTTGATTCAGAATTGAGGATTAATCAGCTGGTTTGCTAGTTAAAAGTGCTAGTGCTACTAGTTGTAGTTAAATTTGACAGAGCGTCGAGTAAGTACTTAGAATAGGTGTGGGTTAAAAAGTGGGCAAGTTTAACATTAACCTTCAGAGCTGTAATGATTTTTTGTTTTTAAAAACGTAAGTGCTTATTAAATTATTAATTTTAAGTTGTGTTAGTAATTTTCGATTGAGTATAATGAGCAAGTTTATTAACTGTGAAAGTAATTTGTGCTCAGATAATTCGATATTTCTTGTAATCGTAAATAAAGTTTATAGCCTAGCAGTTGCGATATGTAGTTAACAATTTTAGGACTGTGTAACTCAGAATACTTTTTAAATAATTTAATTGCAATATTAAGTGGTCAATAATTTGGTAGAACTGCGTTGTTGTTTGTTATTTATTTAGATATAACAAGATCTTTGTAATTAGTTTTCAATTTGTGTAGAAAATGAAAACGAACGTATGGTGACCCTTTCAAGATTATTTAAATATACGGTGTGTCTTGACACCGAATGCAATAATAAATCGCTGTATTATTAGAGTATCGATCGATTAATCAAACGTAATAGCTTATATGTTTTTGTTATAGTAATAAACGTGATTTATATATAGATTTAAAATCATTTAAATATAAATTGGTAATAAATTTTCTTTTCATTGTGTGGTAATGGAAAATCACGATGTTCTTTTTTTTTATTGAATGAATCACCGTGTATAATACTAACAGTCGTCAATACTTCGACTCAATATCGAATAATAAGTAATATGATTATAAGTAACTAAAATAATACCAACTTAAATAAGATTTCTAATGGATAAAGTTTAAAACCCAACAATACTGAAATTTCCTGAAAAAATTACCTAGGCACAAACAAGATGCACAATTACGAATACAATCTGATTTTACGTATACAGAAACTAAAGTAAATAAAGTATTCAATATAAAGTAGGGAAGTTGTTAAACCAATGTTGGCACCCTTCATTGAACTTCAGAAATGTGTATTTTATACTTTTTTTTTTCAAATTCGCGCCTTGTTTCTATAATAACAAATATGATATGATATTTTTAATTACGATATGATCCACTAATAGTTTTCTAGCACTGAAAAATGTCAAAATAAATTTCACTAATAATCGATGCTTACTACGCTCAACTAATAGGGTCCATATGGCGAGTTGCTAGTTTCATGTGTTGATGAGTTTTCATAGCTCGTAGAATATGAAAAAGTAGGTCTCCCGTTTCACATATAAACAGCGAATGATGAGGTTGATTTCATTGATTAAGTCAAAAATGGTTTACAATTTTCAGAATAAATATTTCAGGAGTGAGGGAAGTTCTATTTAAAATGTTGATAGTAGAGTCCGTTTATTGAACAGATGGAGTGACCACAAATTAAGTGCCCAAGCTTACACGATAACATCAAATTGAAGGCATAAAAAAATTTCGACAAATATAAAATAATGATGAAAATTTTTTGCGATTTTTGTTTTATTATAATCTATATAAAGTTAAAACAAGTGGCATAAACAACACTCCCACAGCCTTTTTGTTTATTCAGTTTTTTTGCTTTGCAATTTTTAGAGCTTTCAAATTGAAATTTTTGCTTTTCATTTCAATTTTCCAACTTTTAAATTTTTCAATTTTGTAGTTTTTGGATTTCTAATTACCTGATTTTTCGTTTCGTCAATTTTTCAAAGTTTTTATTTTATACTTTTTCAATTACAATGTCTCGATTCTTTAATTTTTCATTTCTTCAAATTTTATTTGCAATTTTTTGTTTCGGTTTATTTATTTATTTATTTTTTTTGTTTTTACAATTCGATTTTTCAATGTTCCAAATTTGTTTTTTTACCATTTTATTTATTCAATTGTAAATTGTTTAGTATTTCGAATTTTCAACTTTTGGATGTTTCAGTTTTTAGAAATTGTAATTTTCCGATTTGCAATTTCACGAGTTTTCATTTTTAAAATTTTCACTTTTCGTTCCTTCAATTTTTTTATTTACAATTTTTCCTTCCAGATTTTCATTTTCTTTATTTTTTCAATTTTTCGGTTTTTTAATGTTCTGATTTTATAATTTTTTTGCAATGTGAAACTTTTCAATTTTTGGATTAACAATTTTTTAATTTGTAATTTTTCGGTTTTCAATTGTTCGATTTTTCAATTTTTAGATTTTTTAATTTTTCGTTTTTTCAATTTTACAATTTTAGAGTTTTCAGTTTCCCAATTTTTCAATTTTTTGTTCCTTCAATTTTAATTTGTAATTTTTCTAGTTCTCATTTTAAATGTGTAATAATGATTATAATTTTTAAAACTTTTTTCACTTTTTCAATTTTACGTTTTTTGAATTTTTCCATTTTTCAATTATTGAATGTTAAAACTTTTTTATTTATTCGATTTTTCAATTTCAATTCTTCGACTTTTAATTTGTCAATTTCTAGATCTTTAATTTTTCATTTTTCAAATTTTATTTGCTATTTTTCGGTTCGGTCTTTTTTTGGATTTTTCAATGTTCCGATTTTATATTTTTTTACAATTTTATTTTATCATTTCTTCAATTTTCGATTTTTCTTTTTTTTTTGTTTCTTTAATTTTACGGTATATAACTTATCGAGTTTTCATTTTCTAATTTTCTAGTATTTCGATTTTCCAACTTTTGGATGTTTCAGTGCTATTTTTTGTAGTTTTCATTTTAAATATGTAATATATAATTATTATAATTTTTTAAAATTTTCACTTTCAATTTAACGTTTTTAGAGTATTTCCATTTTTCACTTATTGGATTTTAAAACTTTTTCATTTATCTATTCTAATTTTTCAACTTTTAATTTTTAGATTTTTAATTTTTTGAGTTTTCCAATTTTTCGATTCGATCGTTTTTCCTTCTTTCCAGTTTTTTGATTCATTTAAATTTCTGGATTTTTAGTTTTTTAATGTTTCAATTTTTCGTTTCTTCGGTTCTACTGTTTGCAATTTTTTCGATTTTTCGGTTTTTTCGAGTTTTTTAGTTTTTGTTTTTGATTTTTCATTTATTCAATTTTTCAATTATCGGTTTTGTGTAACTTTTTGTTTTCAGTTTTGATTTTTAAAATTTTTCGTTTTTTCAGTTTTTCGATTTGCGATTTTTTAATTTTTTAATTTTCTTGTTTCTTAAATTTTTCAATTTTCCGATTCTTTAATTTTACATGACTTCAAAACTTCAATTTACAATTTTTCGTTTCGGTTTTTTGTTTTCCTTATTTTTATAATTTTTTCAATTTTTTATTTCTTCAATTTTTGGATTTCAAGTTTTTCAATTTTGCACGTTTGTTACTTCAATTTTACGATATGCAACTCTTCTAGTTTTTATATAAAAATTTTTCAGTTTTCGGATTTTCCAACTTTTAAATGATTCAATTTTTCGAAATTTTAATTCTTCAGTTTTTTTGCAATTTTTCGTTTCAGTTTTTCTTTTCTTTATTTTTTCAGTTTTCTCTTTTCTTTATTTTTTCAATTTATCGATTTCTAATTTTTCGGTTTTCAATTTTTCGATTTTTCAACTTTTAAATTTTTTTAATTTTTCGTTTTCTCAATTTTAGATTTTTCGGTTTCTCGAGTTTTCAATTTTTGTTTTACAATTTTTTGTAGTTTTTATTCTAAATATGTAATAATAATTATAATTTTTAAAAAATTTCACATTTTCAGTTTTACGTTTTTAGAGTTTTCCCATTTTTCACTTCAGTTCTTGGATTTGGAATTTTTCGATTTTGCAATTTTTCGTTTTTTCACTTTTACGATATCTTAATTTTTTCAGGTTTTTTTTTTGTTTTTCGATCTTTAATTATTATTCGGTTTTTCAACTTTTTGAATAAAGAAAAATGTATTTAAAATTTAAGATTTTTCAGTTTGTCGATTTTTCAGTGTTTCGTTTCTTCAATTTTTGCTTTACAGTTTTTCTATTTTTCATTTTAAATATTTGTCATAATTATAATTTAAAAACATTTTCAGTATTCGATTTTTCACTTTTTTCATTTTTAGTTTTTAAATTTTTCGACTAATTAATTTTCTCAATTTTTAAGTTTCTTAATTTTTAGTTTTTCAGTGTTTCAATTCTTCGTTTTATCAGTTCTTAGATTTGGAATTTTTCTATTTTGCAATTTTTCGTTTTTTTTTAGTTTTACGTTTTCTCAATTTTTTCAGTTTTTTTTTTGTTTTTCGATTTTTAATTATTCGATTTTTCAGTGTTTCGTTTCTTCAATTTTTGCTTTATAATTTTTCTATTTTTCGTTTTAAATATTTATAATAATTATAATTTTAAAATTTTTAATTTAACGTTTTTAGAATTTTCCCATTTTTCACATATTGGATTTTAAAGTTTTTTTATTTATTCGATTTTTCACTTTTTTCATGTTTAATTTGTCAGTTTTTCGGTCTTGCAGTTTTTCGACTTTACAATTTTGACGATTCTTGATTTTTTCAATTTTACATCGTTTAGGCTTTCCAATTTTTCGATTCAATTCGTTCTTTCTTCTTTCCAGTTTTCGGATTAATTTTTTTTTTGATTTTTAAGTTTCTCGATGTATAGTTTTTCAATGTTTTAATTTTTCGTTTATTCAGTTTTTCTATTTCTTTCGATTTTTCAACTTTCCGAATTAAAAAAATGGAAAAATTACAAAATTGTAGAATTGGCAAATCAAAAATGAAAATCGAAAAAGTATAAATGAAAACTGAAAAATCTAAAAATTTGAAATAATTATAATAATAATACAGATTTAACAACAAGCCAAAGTTCCAAAAGAGACAAAAAAAAATGTATGACTTGAAATTGTATGGAATCAAGAACTCGAAACGAAAAATTGAAAAATCGAAAGGGTGCAAAATCGGAAAATCGTATAATTGAGAAATTCAAAAATTGCAAAATTCAAAAATTTAAAAATTGGAAATTCGAGGAATTGAAAAATCAAAGATCGAATAAACGAAAAATGATCAAATTTAAAGAAATATAGAAAAAATAAAGGAAATGGAATAACAAAAAATGGCGATATAAAATCGAAAAAATAAAATTTAAAAAATCGGGAAAATGAAAGGTAAAAATGGAGAAACTGAAAAATCGAAAAATGAAAAATTGTATCGAAAAATTGAAGAAACGAAAAATTGAAAAAATTTGGAAGTCGAGTAATTGGAAAATTGAAAGAATAAAGTTGAAAAAACGAAAATTTGTGATATCAAAAAATTGTAGGATCATAAAAAAATGGTCGAGGGTAAATAAATTCAGATTTTTCGAAAAAGTACAATATTTAATTTTGCCAATTTAATTTTTTTATGATAACCTTTATGAGTCAAATAAAGATACGTCTGCAATTGGTGATGGAAAAATTCATCAACAAGGAACATCAGACGGAAATGGGAGACCTATTTTTTCGTACTCTAGGCTCTAGGGGTCATTAAAGCTTACGCTCAAGAAGTAAAAATACTATTTTATTCTTTCATTTGTGAGTTAAAACCAGTATTTTTTCAAATTGCAAAACGCCACAAAATTTCTACTTTAATATTGCTATTTATTTCTTTAATCTTTACAACATCTTAAACCTTCACATTACAAATTCGCAGGCCACGACCGCCCTGGGCGACCCCCTCCGAATTCTGAAACTGGGAGACACTCAAGTCCCTTACTCAGTCTTCATCGACTACATCAACGGCTTGAGCGAGTCCACCTGGTGGTAAGTACCCATCTCCCAGCACCTCCGCGCCATTACCCACCCTTCACCCGCAGCGGCACCACGTACGACCTCTTTCGCCACAACTGCAACAACTTCTCCGAAGACATCGCCCAGTTCTTGTGCGGGGCCAGCATACCCAAATACATCTTGGACTTGCCCAACGAGGTGCTCAACTCCTCCTTGGGGCCGGCGTTGCCGCTGCTAATCGGCCAGCTGGAGAAGAGCGCGAGACCCATCGCAGAGGAGCAGCAGAGATCCAGGGAACACAGCCCGGATTTCGAGCAGCTCAATTCACAGATTGAAGAAGTCAGGTCAGATAAAAAGAGTGTTGGGGATCATTGAACATAACGCTTCGAGTGATGTAGATGCGTTTACATTGTAATAGGACACTGCTTTTTGTGTTATTGAGTTTTGTTGGTGCTGTGTTTTACGGTATTTGGGTGTGATGCGTTTTATGTAAATAGGAAACTGGCGCATATTTGCATATAACATATATGGATTTTAACACATTTGGAGATTTTATTGTTGAATGTACATAAACTATAGACTCGTTGTAGTAGTTTTAAATATTGGAAACAAAATAGTCATTTTATTTATTATATTGTTTAATTTGTTTGTGGTTAGAGTAGTCTATAGTTTTTGTTGTCTTGTTTATGTATGCATCAAGTGTAAAGGCTGTTTTTTTACCGAAGGTGCTTACGTTCTTGCCAAGAAGTTTATATTTTCATTATTTAGAGACAACCTTGGCAACATTGCCAAAAAATTACTTTCCTATGCAGGGTTGCCACATTTACATTTACACAGTTAAAAAACAGGCTTTATGTAGTGTGACTAGTCTTCCATTTTTTCTGTTTTTGGCTTACTTACATGTCCCTTGTATATTCACATCTTTATTCAGAAAGCAATAAATCACTGATAATAAGTGGTTGTTTGATCCAGAGTTTTTATTTGTTTTAGTCGTTGAAATTTGGAAAAGCGAACGTCTGACAACCACTTCGGTTCAAGATTTTTCATATTGGTTAAATTTATTTGTTTACAAAATCAGACTGTTCGTAATGCACGCATGCGCATTAATCGCCATAAACAACCAGGAGTCGTGCAAGGATCGGCGTTTGGTCCGCTCTTCTTTGCTGTGTTTGTAGACGATCGGGCACATATGTTACATATTCACTATCTGATCTATACAGGTGATTAATAAATCTTACGAAACTTTTCATCCATAAATGGAGAAACTTATCATTAAATTGTTCCTTTATATGTAATACTAAAACGGAAATTAAATATTAATCATTTCAATAAATCTAACACAGTCTGCCCAGTATAAATTGCTCCGTTAAACATCACCTTGTTTTTGTAATTATGAACTTTTGCCAAGTTTTGGGAAATTTTTATCCAATGTTTGAAATTGGGTTTGTTTATCGTTTTTTGTAATTTTTACTTTCCGCGCGTAAGCAATCCGAATTGAGATTTTACCCGAAACGTCCAGATTTTTGGAAAAAAAATCAAAATTAGGAAACAACATTTTGACATTTAATTTGGAATCTACAAAACCGAATGCTTTGAAATCTTGCAGATGGTTTACAGTTATGATAAGCATGATAAGTTTTTATTCAAAATACAGTGTAACCGCGATAATTCGAATTAATTGGGGAAGGTGTGTTCGGAATAGCGATTTGTTCGGATCAGCGAATTTCCCAAAAAGCTGAAAAGGAATTGAATAACAACTTCATACACTGCTGAAAACAAATTTCAAGAAATAAACTTTAATTTTATTAAACAGAAATAAATACATATTCTTAACCAACAATATGTTTTATAATTTTATGTATTTTTAGTTTTCATTTTTTCAGTTTTTCGTTCTTCAGTTTTTCGATTTGCGATTTTTCAATTTGTATTTTTCTTGTTTCTTAAATTTTTCAGTTTTCCGATTCTTTAATTTTACATTTGAAATTTTCAGTTTACAATTTTTCGATTTCAAATTTTTAAATTTTTCACTTTTTTTTACTTCAATTTTACGATATGCAACTCTTCTAGTTTTCATTTAAAATGTTTCAGTTTTCCGATTTTCCATCATTTGGACGTTTCAATTGTGCAAAATTTTCATTTTTAATGTCTTCAGTTTTTCGTTTCAATTTTTTCTTTTCTGTGTTTTATTCAGTTTTTCGATTTGCAAGTTTTCGGTTTTCAATTTTTCGATTTTCCAACTTTTAGATTTTTTAATTTTTCGTTTTTTCAGTTTCCCCATTTTTCAATTGTGCAAAATTTTCATTTTTAATGTCTTCAGTTTTTCGTTTCAATTTTTTCTTTTCTGTGTTTTATTCAGTTTTTCGATTTGCAAGTTTTCGGTTTTCAATTTTTCGATTTTCCAACTTTTAGATTTTTTAATTTTTCGTTTTTTCAGTTTCCCCATTTTTCAATTTTTCGTTCCTTCAATTTTTGATTTGCAATTTTTCTATTTTTCAGTTTAAATATGTAATAATAATTATGATCTTTAAAAGTTTTCCCTTCTTCAATTGTACGCTTTTACAGTTGTTTCATTTTTCAATTACTAGTAACTTAAAACTTTTTTATTTATTCGATTTTTCAATTTTAATTCTTTGACTTTTAATTTTTGAATTTCTGAATATTTAATTTTTTAGTTTTTCAATCTTTCAATGTTACAGTTTTTAGAGTTTGCAATTTTGACGATTCTATGATTTTTCGTTTTTACATTTTTTTGGTTTTCCAATTTTTCGATTCATCTACATAACTGCGGAAAACAAATTTCAAGAAATAAACTTTAATTTTATTAAACAGAAATAACGTACATATTCTTAACCAACAATGTATAATAGATACATTCGAAAATATTACTCCGTTACCATAAACATGCTATATTTTTGGAATCAACACGTCGAAATATATATACATCTCTGAATTTTTTCAGAATTTTTAGACAACTTTTTCAAAAATGAAATTTTACACTGTGATAGTACTTGCCAAGTAACCTACCCTCTAAGAAAATAAAAAGTGGGTAGGCCAGGCTAGTATTTGCCAAAATAAGATTCATTTTGACAAATGACCTACTCTTCTAAGAAAAGTTACTAGCCCCGCCCACCCACCCTTTGTTTTCTTAGAAGAGTGGGTCATCTGCCAAAATCAATCTTATCTTGGCAAGTATGAGGCTGATTTTTGCAAATGACATTCTCTAAGAAAATAAAGGTGGGGGGTGGGGGGCGGGGCTAGTACTTGTCAAGATAGGACTGATTTTGGCAGATACCCACTCTTCCAAGAAAGCAAATTTGTTGTTTTTCGGTTTTCAATTATTCTTCAACTTCTAGATCTTTTTATTTTTCGTTTTTTTTTTTAATTTTGAAGTTTTCAGTTTCCCCATTTTTCAATTTTTCGTTCCTTCAATTTTTGATTTGCAAGTTTTCTAGTTTTCATTTTAAAATTGTTCAGTTTTTCGGTTTTCCAACTTTTGGATATTTCAATTTTTCGAAATTTCAATGTTTGATATCTTTAGTTTCCCCATTTTTCAATTTTTGATTTGCAATTTTTCTAGTTTCAATTTTAAAAGTGTAATAATAATTATAATTTTAAAAATTTTTCACTTTTTCAATGTTACAGTTTTTAGATTTTATAGTTTTGACGATTCTATCATTTTTCGATTTTATATTTTTCGGGTTTTCCAATTTTTCGATTCGATGGTTTTTTCTTGTTTCCAATTTTTCGTTTCTTCAGTTCCTCTATTTGCAATTTTTGGATTTTCCACTTTTGAGTTTTTGCAATTTTCAGTTTTTTAGTTTTTCGATTGTTAATTGTTCATTTATTCGATTTTTCAATTGTCGGTTTTATAATTTTATGTATTTTTAGTTTTCATTTTTTCAGTTTTTCGTTCTTCAGTTTTTCGATTTGCGATATTTCAATTTGTATTTTTCTTATTTCTTAAATTTTTCAGTTGTCCGATTCTTTAGTTTTACATTTGAAATTTTCAGTTTACAATTTTTCGATTTCAAATTTTTAAATTTTTCACTTTTTTTTTACTTCAATTTTACGATATGCACTCTTCTAAAGTAGCGGTCATTTCTACGGAACCACTCGATAAAAAGTCAAGTTGGTAGCCCTGTCATCTAGTACTTTACGCCGAACGCTGTTGGTAGCGGTAATTGACATGGCAATCGAAACTAGCACAACACGAATGTTTCGGTTGCCCTCAGCTATGCCGCACTGTATCCCGTGCAGACTGTATGTTCTGTTCACCTATTTATTAAAATAAAATATCTACATTGACAATGGGGCCATCTAACCTGTCAAATTTTTGACACATATGTTTTCCCCCAGAAACCCGTCAAGGTCACTTACACCAAACAAATTTTGAAAATTTACACTAGGGAGTGGTTCTATAGAAAAGATCGCGACTTTAGTTTTCATTTCAAAATGTTTCAGTTTTCCGATTTTCCAACATTTGGACGTTTCAATTGTGCAAAATTTTCATTTTTAATGTCTTCAGTTTTTCGATTTGCAAGTTTTCGGTTTTCAATTTTTCGATTTTTCAACTTTTAGATTTTTGAATTGTTCGTTCGTCAATTTTTTAATTTTCACTTTTTCATTTCTTCAATTTTTTGATTTACAATTTTCCCATCCGCTTTTTATTATCTTTATTTTTTAATTTTTTGGGTTTTCAACGTTGTGATTTTATTTTTTTTCAATGTGAATTTTTAAATTTTTTGATTTTCAGTTTCCCCATTTTTCCCCAATTTTCGGTTTTTTATTTTCTTTATTTTTCAATGTTTTGGTTTTTCAACGTTGTGATTTTATTTTTATTCTTTCAATGTGAATTTTTCAATTTTTGGATTTTCACCTTTTCGATTTGTAATTTTTCGCTTTTCAATTGTTCGATTTTTCAACTTTTAGATTTTTTAATTTTTCGTTTTTTCAGTTTTAGAGTTTTCAGTTTCCCCATTTTTCAATTTTTCGTTCCTTCAATTTTTGATTTGCAATTTTTCTATTTTTCAGTTTAAATATGTAATAATAATAATTATGATTTTTAAAATTCAATTGTACGCTTTTACAGTTGTTTCATTTTTCAAATACTAGTTCTTTTTTATCTATTCGATTTTTCAATTTTAATTCATCGACTTTTAATTTTTGAATTTCTGAATATTTAATTTTTCAGTTTTTCGATCTTTCAATGTTACAGTTTTTACAGTTTGCAATTTTGACGATTCTATGATTTTTCGTTTTTAAATTTTTTGGGTTTTCCAATTTTTCGATTCATCTACATAACTGCGGAAAACAAATTTCAAGAAATAAACTTTAATTTTATTAA